AATTGCTATTTCAATCAAATTGGTCAGTGCAATAGTGAGTGAGTGGGTTACTGAAGATCAATTCTAACCCAGATCTTCATGGGTTGGTCAGTGCAATACATGTCACTCCTACAGCGTGATGACAAAAGTATTCGCGACTTTTCAAAATGGCGGAAGTAAACACAAGACTGTATGAAAACTTTAAACAGCGATATTTCAAAAAAAGAATTATGTCATACCTCAGTACTTGGTCAAGTTCCCCTTGGAGAGTATGCAGGCCATAATCCGTCGTGGAATTGATTCATATAAGTTTCTATCATAGTGTAGAGTGATATTTGTCCAGACATCATGGATGGCGTCATACAGTTCGTCAGTGGTCAGGATAGATTGTGATTGTCACTGTAGTGTTGTTTTGATGTGTAGCCATACATTTTCAATAATATTGAGACCGGGAGACTGTGCAGGCCAAGTCATGCAATTTACAGCATTGTTACGCTTGTATTCCTGAATAATTCGTGCCCGATGCACTGGGGCATTGTCATCTTGAAACCGATATGGTTTGTTGTTGAAGTGCCGAGCTATAACGGGCCAGAGGTTGTCTTCAAGCATTTCACGATACTTGACAGCATTAACATTACCATCAACACGACACAAGGTGCCAACACCGTACCAAGTTAAAGAACCCCAGATCATAACTGATAACCTGGCCTGTTTAAGTGAATCATGCATTCGGGACGATAGGCTTCATGCGCACTTCTCCAAATGAAAACTCTTCCATTCTGACCAATAACTACCTGCGATTCATCACTGAATATCACCTGTTTCCACTGATTTTGTAATGCCCAAATTCTCTTTTCCAAACACCAGTGAAGTCGTTTCCTTCTGTTCACTTCCTTCACAAGGCGCTTTCTAATAACCCGACGAAAAACACCATTCCGATGCAAAACTCTTTGAATTGTTCTACTGTTTACTTGTTGATGTTGACCAACATTATAATCACGGGTAATGTCTCTTAGAATGTTAAATCTATTCTTGCGGACACTCCTCAACAAAACATGTTCACTACGAATACTCACTTTTCTCGGCCTACCACTGCGTCGGCTGTTTTCAACATTACCACAATTCAAATATTTTTTCCAAACATACCGAATTGTTGATTCAGGTACACCTAATCATTTCACAATGTCAGAAGTTTTCTTTCCATTCTGTTTCAAATCCACAATTAGTTCTTTCGTACTGATGTTGAGTTCCTTTGATTTTCGGCCCATTGTTTACAGCAGACGATTTCTGCATTCCAAGCAGACGACATACAACGTCATTGCACATGCGAACTAATCGTATATCAAGCTCACAAGCGACGTATCAAACATGAAAATCTGAGACGTTTCAATCAAAGACAAACGGCCATATTTGCCAAATCGCGAATACTTTTGTCACGATGCTGTATGAAGAACCCGTGAAGATCTGGGTTAGTACTGATATTCAGTATCCCATGCTTGTCGTAAGAGGCGACTAACGGGATCGGCTGGTCAGGCTCGCTGACTTTTTTGACACATGTCATCGTATCCCATTTGTGTAGATCAATGCTCATGCCGTTGATCACTGGATTGTCTATCCAGACTCGATTATTTACAGACCGCTGCCATATAGCGGGAATATTGCTGAGTGCAGCGTAAAACTAAACTCACTCATTGGTGCTCATATGCAGTCAAAATCTAGGCCTTGTATTAAAGGTTACCATCATTGGCATCAGGCACTGTCCAAAGAGATGCAGACTTATAGTACTAGTATCATGTGACAGGGTTTTTCATCCAGGACTTCAAATGAACAGCTCTGAGGAAGTAAAATACTGCTATGTTGACCAAATTGGTCAGCACAATTCCTGTCACTCCTGTGATGAAGTTCTAACTATAAAACCTGGATATTTTAATATGAAATTTTGGAATTATTCAACATTTGAACTTGTTGATAAATTCCTGTGTTCATCTTTCTCTATGTCACATTCACTCTTTCACTTACATTATACTGCCCTATAGACCATCTTTGCTGTATTGCACTATTCTCACAAACCAGTTAGTTGACTATCTGTCAAGGTTACTTTTTTTACTGTAATAAAAACAATCAACATGCAGGATAAAGACTTGATAGGCATAGTAAATTGATAATTGATAGGCATAGTAAAAAGGGAATTTAACACACAATGTAGACTGTTCATTAAAAATTCATTGAAATCCACTTATTTAAATGGCTCATGATATAGGAAAAGTTAAAACATGTATTTCCTGTTGACTGTCAAAGTCTTGCGTAACAAATTGGCAGGAGAGATAAACGAGTGTTTAATTCTGTATCTTTAAGGTGCAGAGTTTTTGAAATTCTGTAAGTGAGATAAATTAAGATAACACCATCACGTCACACACAATCACATGATCACAGAGGAGCCTAAACGTTATCATGAGGTCACCTCAAAATAAATAAAAATATGTTATTTTGGTAAAAAAGGAAATAGAAAATAGATCATGCTTATGCAGCAAATACACCACTTCATGTGACATCTAATTTATTGATCGTAAACAGAAACAAAGACAAACTCGGGATAATACGGAAGTAGAGTTGATGACCTCTCCGTGCTCCATTTATCCTGTATCTGCAGTGAAACACAACCACTGTGGAAGGAGGAAGAAACTCTCCCTCAACGGCAGTCGAGATGTCTCATGACAATGTACGCTTAGCTTACGCTAAGTCTCTAAATATACATAATTTTGATAGAATCATATAATTCATTTGAATTTAAAGAGGGACCCCATTGAGAACCTGCGGAAAAACTAGACTTGTTCATTTAGAGGTTTTACAAAGTAAAGAGGGGTGGGAGGAAGGGGAAATAATGTGGAACAGGGACTGTGAGACAGACTAGTGACAATATCACTGACTGTTTGTGAAACCTGTCTCTATGTCAGATACTTCATGCTTGTTGTTCTCATGGTGGAGTTCTCTCTTGTTTTATCATGGGTGGGAGAGCCTAATGATTAAAGTGTTTGCTCGTCATGCTGAAAAGCCTGGGTTTGATTCTCGCATGGGTACAATATGTGAAGCCTAAATATCGCTAGAAGCTTGTTCAAAGTGGCATCAAATTCAACTCACTCACTCACTCTTGTTTTATCACATTTACACATCACGTGACATGAGTCAGCTCAAGTTATTTGTAAAATTGCTTGTTAAAGGAAGATAAATAAAAACTGCGCTTTTTACAAATTATATCTTTTTTCAAAATAGCCCTTCAATATAGTTAGTTATTTTACAAATATTCATGATATCTTTGATACTCTTAGATCAATTGTGATAGGATAAGACTTAAATGCATTCAAAGACTCAATATCATTTGGGCATATTGGAATATTTTATCATTATACTTTAAAACGGAAGAAACTATATGTCACTTGAATCATTACATCTCTTTTTGTGTGTCTGTAGCTTATAGATTGGACCATCAATCTTGACAGCTCACAGATGTGTGTAATAACCTAACAGATGCACTGGAGGTGAGGTGAGGTGAGGTGAGGTGAAATTGGGTTTAACGTCGTGCTGGAGAATATTTCGCCCATATGACGACGTGCATGCGTGTGTATGTGTATGTGCGGCTGCTTGTACGAGCCCAGACTTAAGCTGGTTTTATAGTGCTAGCCCACTGAAATACCATGCCGCAGTGAAGCATGAATACCCCACCCGACCAGTCCTTGTTGTACCCATTAATGCCGAGCGCCAGGCAGGGACCAACAAGTACCATATTTTAACGTCTTTTGGTATGATGCAGTCGGGGATCGAACCCGCGACCTTCCGCTCTCTGGGCGGACGCTCTAACCACTACACCACGGAGGCGGTCAGATGCACTGGATCATATCCAGATATATGCATCACATACTACTGATAGAAATCACATATATCCTTCAATATACATGCAATATACATGTATAGTTTGTGATAAACTCATTCATCATATTAATGTGTTATTGTATGGGAGTGTAATATACATGGAATAAACATATTTAGTGTATGATGAAACTCATTAATCTTATTAACACGTTATTGTCTGAGTGCAATATACATGTCCTATGGTAGGTTGTATAGTCTTCATGGGCAATAACATTAATCAATGAATAATAAACATATTATCACATTCATCAAACACCTACTTAGCACAATGTATATAACACAAAACCGACAATGGCCACATCGTAGGTGATGTGAAACATTGTTTATTTAGGCTGAGGCTGATATTGACAATAACTAGATCTGCATGTAGGTAGACTATTCAAGTATTTGTCACTCAATTTAGCATCAGTGTGACTGAGATTAAACGCAAAGTGTTATTTCACAATTAACAAACAAATACTTTGGGCTTTACATTGTACAGAGACGGTAAACCAGCATACGGTCTCTGCACTCTAGTGGAAGAAAACTATTACTGTGTTATTGTCCCTGAGTGCAATATACATGTGGTACTAGAGGTTTATAAACTTCCTGGATAATAACACTGAACAATGAATAATTAACCCTTTATCACATAGAACAAACACATACTGTTAAAAATGTATATAAAACAAAACTGACTATGGTACAATGTATGTCAAACAATGCAAATTCTGGTTAATGTTGATGTTTACGATAAACAGATATTTATATATAAGTATAGATTAATGCTTAGCATCTGGAAAAATATAATTTTAATTGTAACAAATAAATCCAATTTAAATTGAAACGGAGCCCCAGGTAGAACAGGGATGCCTGGGGAAATATAGACTTGCTTCATTTAGGGCTTTTGCATTGGAATGAGGGCTGGGCTGTAGGGAAAATAATATGGTCCCGGGACGGTGAGACAAGTCTAATGTAAGTACGCTATAGTCACTATTGAAGCATTTGTCAGTCAGTTTAACATCGCACAACTGAGATCAAACAACACACGCTGTTCATTTCATAATTTGAAAAAAAACTGTTTTGGAGGCCTTACATTACAGAAGAAGACTTACCTCTGATGAACACACACAGCGGTCCAATCCTAGCCGGTCGCTATCTGGCTAGATCACAATCACCAACTGCTTACTCGAACCAGCTTGTAACAGTAAAGCGAAAACTCCACTGTAGTCCTCTTCACGACTTCCCAACTTTCGTTGAGCTGCACCACTCCACACACACAGCAACAAGTTGAAAGCTACGATCCACAGTCTAATCAATAACAAATACGTCCTGCGTTCTGTTTGGGTACTTCGCAGGTGCAAATACGATTGAACTTGTGACGAGCGAGGAAACACCCTTCGACGCTCGTTCATGGGCCTTGTCGCCAAAAATAGATTTACGCATGTGACGTCACCCCAACTACAAAACAGTACAAGGGTCGCGTTGTCCTTATATGGAACAACGTGACGCGGTCTAATCTATGTCGTATTTTATGAATGGATCTTACAGGACTTGATACCTGTCTTACAATGACTAAAGACAAATGACTAAACGTGACGAGGCTCAAAGACGTAAGCAGTTTGAATGACTGGCGAGCCTTTTATTGTTCACAGTGACGCTGAACATATTGTTACTAATAAAGTTTAACCGCAAATGTGATATAAATAGTAAATATATAAATATAAACATAAATATAAATAGCTAATAGGGAGACAGAAATGTATGAATATTTTTAAGTGTGAATCATATTATTAGATTTCACAACCATTTTGAATGATAATATGTAAGTATATATTTTCAAGTTTCATTTACAAAAATATTTTAAGACAGTTTCTCTAAAACTGAGCTGGTATCGTAACAGTTAAATATACTGACTGACTGACTGAGTTTAGTTTTACGCCGCTTTTAGCAATATTCCAGCAACATCACGGCGGGGGAACACCAGAAATGGGCTTCACACATTGTACCCATGTGGGGATTCGAACCCGGGTCTTCGGCGTGACGAGCCAACGCTTTAACCACTAGGCTACCCCACCGCCCCCCCACAGTTAAATATAACATGTACACAAAGTAATTGATTGATAAAACACATTGCGCCTTATAAACCAATATTAATTAATTGACTAATTAGTTATCGCTTAGTTACATATTACGACTACGAAACGTACATATTATTGATTTCACGAATACATTTGACAATAATAAATCACACTCGACAAATGGGCAAGATAATTAAGTTTACTTTTCGTTTGAAAACCAGGGAGTTGAGTGAGGGTCTATGAGCGTGGCTCAGTAAGGCAAGATGAGAAAAACAAATCGTTAAATGAATTAGCATTTGAAACGCATCAAATACTTGCAACTGACGTGATACAAATTTCCCCCGCCCGACAAAGCTATATCCAATTATAAACGAATATAATGACATCGTATATGGCACAAAGTGCACACATGCCATTTTCTTCCCTCTTGTCGGAGCAGAAGTATTGAGTACTATCCAACTTGGCCTGGGTCGTTAAAATCAACATAAAAAAACAATTGTATAAAAACAGTACTTAATCTACCTCATTTCTTTTTTTTAAATACCGTTTTATTTAAGAAACCCCTGTTACAAATTGGGCCTGATCAGCCCAGGGAAGCAGAAACCCCATTGAAATAAAAAGAGATTGAAGCAGCAGGCTACTGGTTTTGGGGTGTTTTTTAAAGACATTAGACAAGCACATTGCATTCACTCACACATTCACACTGACAGAATAGGAAGCAAATAACATGAAGTATATATAGTATATAAGGAAAAATTACTAGCACATAATGGATGAAATGACATTTTGATGTTATGTACTGTGATATAGATTTGGGTGAGAAGTTTAATATGGGGTTATACCGATGGCTGGGAGTGTACTACTAGTCTACAAGAGCATGATACAACATCCATTTTTGCTACCACATTTCTTAGTTAAAAGACCACAGCAAAACGAATTGGAAAGATATTCTCTCTCTCTCTCTCTCTCTCTCTCTCTCTCTCTCTCTCTCTCTCTCTCTCTCTCTCTCTCTCTCTCTCTCTCTCTCTCTCACACACACACACACACACACACACACACACACATACATACACCACTTAATTATGTCACCCATAGCGTATCTCTCAAATGAACTCTCAATTGTCTAACCAAACTCATTGTTGATATAAGATCGTCTCGTGATATGGTGAGCGACATTAAACACGTCACAGAGTCTGGTCACGCCTCTTATACAACCAACTTCTTGGGACCTATTCTAACAAGACTATACTTAGCCTTGCATGATGGATTCAACGTAACTATCAAGTCGAAATTCAGCTTACACTTCCACTATGTTTAACAAACCGTGATCCGACATGACTCCACCGAAGCCGTGAAGTCGTTAAACATATTGTTCACACTCGATGCTTAGCAACACTGAAAACTTAAGCAATAACAAGGAACGGACACTCAGTGTGGAAGACTTGTTTTTGTTTATAATATTCCGAAGAGTAAATCAGAATTCCAGGTGTACTGAAGACTTAATTAATTATCTCCACAGATTATTCTTGATACATAGATGTCATCGATAGATCGAACATGAGTGATATTTCTGTCCATGATCACGAAAAGCACTAAATTGACGTCATAGTGTGATGCTTTAGTGATCTTGACGAAAATCCGCGCACATTAATGTAAATAAAATAGGCTTGAGACTATCACCCTGGGGCCTGCCTATTTCGGTGTCTGCGTATGTCAAGTGTACACTCGTCACGGATACACCGTGTTAAAGGGGTCGGGAAGCGCCTCACTAATTGAACACAGACGTTCTGGCCGCACACGCTTCTCTTAATGATGAACACGTAAATTACCTCATTTCGCTCTGGAGATAGTTTAAGAGGGATGCAGCATATAAACCGTAACACTCCAACAGCCATGTGTTGATGGAGTACACACATAGGATATTTATGCATGTATTTTTTTAGGTCTCTTATTACATCTGTGTACGGAAATGTAATCCCAAATTACGTAAGTTTGGAATAAACATACAGGTTTGCTAATTGTTTTGGTTCGTTTCGAATCTTTTCGTTCTTGAAATTGAAATTATTTTACTCGATCGAAAATTCACTATGAAGTCTCGTAGAAAGAAGATAAAACAAAAAAAACAATATTGTTTGTACCTTCTCCAACCAAAAGGTGCCACTGAAGACCAATTCTAACCTGGATTTTCAGGTTTTAGCAAAACGGAAAGGAAGTGATGATGAAAAAGAGACACGGTGTTTAAGAATGATTGATTTTAAGTCAATTGCAGAGCAGTAAGACAGGGTGTCTCCTTTGTGTCTCCTTTGAGTGTATCGTCAAAGTTAAACCTTGTAAAACAGTAAGACCTGCTCTAAGAGAACCATCATAAGCACTGCAATATAGGAGCAGTGGTAGGGATTATTTAGAAAATCATGAAATCATTTTTATGTTGAGTGAGTGAGTGAGTGAGTGAGTGAGTGATTTTACATCTTTTGGTAAGTACAATTGTAAAACACATTTACGTGTATCAGCCATGTTTCCAATAATCTCTGTTGTAGAGCACGTTTATACTAAGATGTTTGACGTCACTTTGACATCGAGGCAGGTGTCTGAATGTAATCTTATTGTGAAGGGATTTTATTCCAAATTAAATACAACCAGGGGAGGAAATTAGATTACGAATGTCATAAACTGCGGCAGATAATGGGATTTCAAGGGAGTTGACGTAGGTCTAGAACCATCCAGAAATATTTGAACGATACAGGCGCCCGTTATAAACGCTGCAGTCGTGATTCGTTATAAAATGCTGCTTTTTAAACAAATATATGTACCATCGTCAGTAGACTAACGCTTAGTCTCTGAAACTATGTAAATCAGAGAGAAACAAAGAGAGCCATGTACATTGAAAAGGAGCCCCACTGAGATGGGAGATTGAACCTGAGGAAATCTAGACTTACTTCATTTTAGATCGTTTGCATTACAAGCAATGCAAGGTCGTGGGGATAATAATATGGTTCAGGGACCGCGAAGCAGAATATGCCGTCAGTTTATTTCGTATATATAATACAGTGATTGAATGAAGGTACTTCGTTTTTAAAGCATAATCAGCGTGAGGGCATCGAGCATGAGACTCCTTGTTGGGAATCAAAACCGTGTCGTCTGTGTAATGGGCGAACGCATTATCCATAAGGCTACCCCAGATGGAATCTAGTGGAGGGTAAGATTTGTTTTGTTGTTTAACGCCGCACTCAGCAATATTCCAGCTATATGGCGGCGGTCTGTAAATAATCGAGTCTGGACAAGACAATCCAGTGATCAACACCATGAGCATCAATATACGCAACAGAGATACAATGGCATGTTGGTTGGTTGTTGGATGATGGTTGGTTGTTTAACGCCACACTCAGCAATATTCCAGCTATATGGCGGCGGTCTGTAAATAACCGGGTTTGTACCCGATCCCGTTAGTCGCCTCTTACGACAAGCATGGGTTACTGAAGACCAATTCTAAACGGATCTCTTCACGGATCTTGAGAGTAAGGGTTAGTGGGGAAGCATAATGGTTAAAGCGTTTGCTCATCACGCTAAAGGCTCGGGTTCGATTCCTCATATGGTACAAGGTAAATACCACACTCAATCTTAATTGTACGGCTAGGTGGTTCAAGCTGTCTTGCTTTTTGTCTTCAGAAGCAACATGAACACGCAGCTTTAAGAAGGATATTTCTAGATTCAATTGCATTTAGTCAAACCGGCTGCCAGGTTCGTGCAAACACACGGTGCTGGGTCCCACGTGATGATAAACGTTCAAATTACAGCTGAAATTTCGATTCTGGGCTTCGTTAACTGCAGGTAAGGATATTGTTTCAACAAAGAACGAGCGCCACATTGTTGCTCTATCCGTAAATAGAGACTACAAACCGACTTGTTTCCACACAAACGGATACACCTTTATTAAACTGCTTGGTCGCGAAAAATCGCCAGTCAGGATGAAAATATCACTTGAACAAAACGAGTTGATTATTGTTAACATGAAACCGTCTAAAGTCAATATTCTAACCAAACAGTCCTTTCATTACTGGTTTTCTTAAATCAACGTTAACCACGCTTAACAACCAACCTGTGTGCTGTACCAATGATTTATCGAGAGCAAGGATACGATAGGCGTACGCCTAGCGCTCGTCGTCTCTCCACGAACTTCGTGAGTGAGTGAGTGACATGTGGGTTGGAGTGAGTGAGTGACATGTGGGTTGAGTGAGTGAGTGACATGTGAGTTGAGCGAGTGAGTGACATATGAGTTGAGAGAATGTGTGACATGTGGGTGGAGTGAGTGAATGACATGTGAGTTGAGTGAAGGTGTGACATGTGGG